ACCCACCCCCGCCACGCAGGTGCCCCCCACCTGGCCAGACATGGGGGGCAAGGGAAGCTTGCATGCAGTGGCTGCCACCCCTCCGTATCCAGCTGCACCTTCCCCCCTGCCCCTTCTTGGTGTCCGGCTGCTGGAAGTACACAGCTCTGTATCTGGCCGCCGGGGGCACACTTATCCAAAAAGGTTGAAAACCCCTATAGTAGACCATTGATATGTTGCCTATATTTAGGTGTATTTACATATTTAAAAGTAATATTTGAACAATATATGTGGTTTTCTTAATTTTGTTTTTGTTGTTGGTATTGTTCTAAATTATAGATCTTCATTTGGAATTACAATGGGGATACTAATAGAAAACAGAGACCATTATCTAACTGGCTGGCAAATAACTAAACAACACTAACAATTTGATTAATTTATTTTTTGGCAAATACTTATGAAAATGTTTTAGACATTGAAAAATGCATGCAAATAAGTTTCCACAAGGAGGGACCACTTTGACTGCTTATTTTCCAGTCTGCGGATTACATTTTCTACTTTCCATTTTGTTGACTAAGCCAGTCTTTTAATGATGGAAATAAAATTAAATTCCCACTAGGATGCAGGATTGTTCTATCCAAAAAAAAAAATAGGAAACGTTTTTATTTTTTTTTTCCCCTCATGATCAGAGCTCAGGATAAGTAGTAAGGAGATTTGGATCTTTCATCAGTTGTTTGTTTTTTGGGGTTTTTTGTTTTTTATAAATGACCATGTAACTTAGTAAAAGTCAAAGAAATGCCCCATCTAATCTCAGTAGGAGTTCCATGAGGTTCAAGGTACTGAGAAGAGCTGTGTTAATGATGCAAACCACCTAAGAGAGGACATTTTCTGTGTACAGATACAAATATCAAGAAAATGAGTTATACTTAATATTAGCTTAGGTCCCAGTACAAGTATTGCCATGTTAGCCAACAACTTCATGATGACTAATTTGCCTTGGTTCTCAGCAAATATTTTGGTCACCATTATAATTGTGGTATATTTAGCTGTATTTCAAGAATTCTGTAGCTCTCACCCCTTCTGTGGACCAGACAAGATTAATATTTTTTTTCCGCATTGGGTGAATTGAAATAAGAGGTTGTGAATTTCTGCCTGTGAGAAGAAAAGGAAATATGAAGAAAGGGAGATCCCTTTGTTTCCTTCTTCCTCCATTGTAGAGTGGAGAAAAAAAAGACTCCAAAGTAAGCTGAGTCATATGGAATAGAGTGTATATGTGCTGAGGTATATATGTGCTGATCTCTATTTTCTGCTTTCAGCTATGCACATTATAAACTGTATTTATTATGGTAGATTCAAAAGAGTGAATACATTTCCACTTCAGGAATAGCAACAACAACAACAATAATAATAATATTAATAATATGTTGACTGGGGACATTGTAGACAAAATTCCATCTATAGTCATGGTTAGCATTAATGTTCATGTTACACGATGAGTATTGTACCTTTAATAGAAAAATACAGGAACCAGATCCACCAAAATAGCTCTGGTAATCATTGTCTAATTTTGTGTAGGACAGGATCTATGCATGAATATAGACATGGTAAAGTGATGTAACCATCCAATTGCATCTTATGGCAGAAAAGGTTGAATCTTGTGAGGTTTGGTTTTGTTTTCATAATGGATACATAGTAATATTTCTTTGTTCCTGGGAGTGTAATTAAAATTATGGATGGCTTTATTTATGAGTTATAGAATCAGTAGATCCAGGTTACTGAAACTTCAAAATTTACAACATGATTCAAAGGCTGGAGGTGTTTATTTAGGTTTTTGTTCTTTTGAGTTTTTCTTTGTTATGGTAGAAAACAAAGAGTTGCCTTTGGATTTGCAAAAGGCTTTTCTAGAATGTAACGATAAGAAAGATTTAAATAAGTAATTTTGATTTCATTAAAAAATCATCTTTGGTTGAAAATGAATAATAGTCACATATATTGGGAACTACGGGAAAGTCTATATCTATATATCACTATGCTTTAGTACTTCCTTTTGGGCAGTTACTTCACTATGCACACAGTGCATGGCTAAATTTTGCTACTACATCACTGTAGCAATGCACTATATCCTGGGAGTGTGTGCCACAACGATGATGTAGCTATCATATGTAGACACACATGGGCGCTACATTGCTCTAGCGTGCATCACTACATCACTGCAGGGCAATGTTTAGATGCACTCTATAAATATAAAAATCTAATTCTTTGTACTGATATAATTTTATCTTTGTTTCACAGGCTACTTTCCGACAGGCATTGATTTATATAAAAAACCTTACACTTATATTTCTACATATGAATCTTCCCAAGATAAATAAGACTGCACATCATTATCCCCTGATAGCCATTTGATAGTCTCCGTCAGGGGCAGTAGACATATTCTAACATCATAAAAGATACAACTTCACTCATAATTAGCAAGTGTTCTGAGACAGACTATGGCTTGAATGGACATGATGAATAGACAGCAGTGACAATACTCAATATAAAGTACATTTTATTTTCATTAAAAACACAACTTTATGAATATATGCATTGTAATACTATATAAATAACTGGTGAAATAATTATTTGGATTTTCATTGCACAGAAATTATGTATAATAATTTACTTTTTACTTTACTTTTTAACATTCCTATTTTAAGGTTTACTTTTTAAGGTTCCTATTTTAGAAAAGAAAACATAATTTTTTACATATTTTTGGTTTCAAGAATCCATTTTAATTAAGAAATCTATATTGATGGCTAGAAAATGTTATTTACACTCCAACATGCATACATACATACATACATACATACATATATATATACATACACACACACACACACATGCATTATATATATATATATATATTCATATTCATATATATAGATGCATATGTATTAGAATAATGGTCCAGGGCAATGCCAAGGGTTAACTGATTAACTGATTTTTTTTAAAGGCCTGGTTGTCTCACAGTTTCACACAGCCTTCAGTTGAGACAGAGTTTCTAACCCAAGCAAGCAACAAGGCCAATGGATAAGCACATAGCCTGGGAAAATTGTGCGCATGTGCCACACTGTTCCATAACATGAGAAAGGGTGGCAACAGCTCACAAGGCCTCAAGAATGCGAGAACAGACCAAATTAGGAAAAAGCTCAGAAAGCTGAAATAAGAATGTGTGGCTGTGATGGGCTTGTGAAACAAAGGAGTATACTGATAGGACAGAATGTGTACAGTATGACCACCACAGAAAGACCAATCAGTGGTGCTCATTGTTGAAAACTCATCAGGAGGGGAAAAGAATACATATAAAGGGACTTTAGAGCAGTGAAGGGGCCCTGAGAGGGGAATCTGAGGCCACATGGACAAAGGACATACCACCAGCCTGTCTCATCCACCCCACTGGTAAGGGGTGGGCCTCAGCCCCCAGCCTCCAGGCTGCTGACATCTGACAGTCAAGAGAGAACCTCAGAGTGAAGTTTGCATCCTGCCCAGACATTCCTTGACTTTGATGACAGCTCTAAGACTGGTAGATATGTAGAATTGCTTGTATTATTATTGTCTGTTAACACTGTGTATCAATACATCTGCCTGTTATCAGATGGAAAGGTTATGATTGGTCTGATGGTTTGGGTCCACCTGAAACACAGTATCTGAGTCAGAAATCCATTGCCATCAGATATTCCACTTAATAAGTATTCTTATGTTGTCTAGATCACTGTAAAATGTCCAAATTAAAATCAAATACTTTTTAGCTAATTGTAAGTTTAGGATTATTAGTTTAAAAACTCATTTCAGACTTCCAAGTGGCAAATCAGTGTAAAAGAAAAAAAAAACCCACTATGTTAAAAATCATGCAAGATTATTTTTGCTAAATTTGTATAATCTCATTTGCCCTGAGGAAGGCAATGTTAAAATGGCAATCATTACAGATGAGACATGGTTTGCCTTTAAATACAGATTTTCAGTATAGTTAACTAATCTCCCTTTTAGTTATTTCATAATCTGTGAAAAGTAACTGAAATGTATACCATTGCTTTGACACTCAGCAATATGTTTTAAAAATATATTTCCTATCAGCTGAGAAAAATGATGTGCTGGAGGTGTAAATATCTGAGTACCAATGAAAATTAATGCCATGAGTTAGTCTTTGAAGACATGTCATATCTCTCATTAGAAGAAGGAAAATTTGATAAATGCAAATATTGGTTATATTGCAGTTGCTTTATTTAAAGGAATTATTAAACAGACCAAAATAAATGTGTAAAAAAATATTGGAATAAAAATTGTAAGATTTTGTTTGTTCATAAGTGCAGAACAGACCTGGCCAAAAAAACCCAGGGTAACAGTTTTCAGGAAATGTCATTTGTTTGAAATTTGGTTTTGTCCAGAAATAAAACATTTCATTTTTTGCAAATTGGACCCTGAAGATAGGCTGTGCAATGGACAGTCTCATCAACTATAAAACTAATAGAAACAGTGAAACTGAGAAGAGCATTAATTTAACAGAGCAGGTGAAATGGGCTCTTAGGAACTGTGAATGTGCACATTGCCCTAGAGAAGGGATCAGCAACTTTTACAAGTCACAGACCAGAACAACACGGCTGAAGTCCAATGAGGGCTACATGGTTTTGGTGGTTCATCAGTGGCAGGGGCTGTCTCCACACCTGTGCTAAGCCAAACAGCTGAAAACGGCACCCATACTGCCACTGTTTCCCCCAGGCCTCACTGTGTAGGAGCAGCTAGAAGCTGCCTGGCCCCAACACAGCTCCTTACTACCCAGTCCCAACATGATCATGGGATCCAGCGGCTCGGTGGGCCAGATCCAGCCCAAGGGGATGTTGCCAATCCTTACCCTAACATCGTACACCCTGGCACCCAACTCTGCAGCAGGAAGTGTGGATGTTTTGAGAGCTCTGGATACAGTCTGGTTTCTCAGATTGTTTAGCTCTCCTTTTATGCAAGCAAAATCTGTTCCATAATGAGAATAAACTTCAGGTCCTCAGTTCTGGAACACTCTTCCTGGAAAGTTTGTCGTGGAATTCCAGATCCTGGTGCCTTTCCAGGTAGATTGTCCCAACCTTACTAATAGGCTATTCTAGGGCCAGAAGACCTGTGCTTTCACACTTATGTATATATGTTTTCCAAATATAATTATTTTCCACATTTTTTACATTTTTTTATTGAAAATATTGTGAAACAATTACTGAAATTGTCAGTTACATTTTTGCAATCAGAATTTTGCAATATGTTCTTTACTATAAGAATCTGTTTTTTTTTAAATAACAAGTTATGTTTTTTCCCCAAATACAGAAATTATAAAAATGACACTTTTTTTTTCAAACAAATTGTGGCAGTAAAGTTTTTCAAATAAAACAATATTTGTTTTAATTTTTCAGTGAAGCAACTTAAAAATTAAAACATTTCAAGGAACTTAAGTCTAATTCAATTTAACATGGCTACTCAATTAAAAGAAGTAAGGATAGATTAGTCTCCTACCTGCTGGTGCTAATCTTTGGCTTGAGGTATGTAGCTTTAGACAGTACATATGTTGAATCCATGACCATGATGGTCATCCTGTAAAAACAATTGAAAGAATATGAGTCATCCTGGATATGTATGTTTCAATTTATATTTCTCCTCTATAGAAAACGTCCCTGAAATTTTCCTGAATTTTCAATCATTATATAAATATATAAGACACGATCCACTGGCTGGAAAATTGGCTCCATGGTCAGACCCAGAGGGTAGTAATTGATGGAAGTCACTCATCGTGGTTTCCTGTGACCAGTGGGGTCCCCCAAGGCTCTGTCCTTGGACCCATACTGTTCAACATCTTCATTAATGATGTGGACACTGGAGTCAGAAGCGGACTGGCCAAGTTCGCAGATGACACCAAACTTTGGGGCAAAGCATCCACACCAGAAGACAGGCGGGTGATCCAGGCTGACCTGGACAGGCTCAGCAAGTGGGCGGACGAGAATCTGATGGTATTCAATGCCGAGAAATGCAAAGTTCTCCACCTTGGGAAGAAAAACCCGCAGCATCCTTATAGGCTCGGCAGTGCTATGTTGGCTAGCACTATGGAAGAAAGAGACTTGGGGGTCATCATTGACCACAAGATGAACATGAGCCCGCAATGCGATGCTGCGGCTAGTAAAGCGACCAAAAGGCTGGCTTGCATCCATAGATGCTTCTCAAGCAAATCCCGGGACATCATTCTCCCCCTGTACTCGGCCTTAGTGAGGCTGCAGCTGGAGTACTGTGTCCAGTTTTGGGCTCCACAATTCAAAAAGGATGTGGAGAAGCTTGAGAGAGTGCAGAGAATGGCCACACGCATGGTCAGAGGTCAGGGAAGCAGACCCTACAATGACAGGATGAGAGCCCTGGGGCTCTTTAGCCTGGAAAAGCACAGGCTCGGGGGTGATCTGATGGCCACCTACAAGTTTATCAGGGGTGACCACCAGTATCTGGGGGAACGTTTGTTCCCCAGAGCGCCCCAAGGGATGACGACTAGGTCGAATGGTCATAAACTACTGCAACACCGTTTCAGGCTGGACATAAGGAAGAATTTCTTTACTGTCCGAGCCCCCAAGTTCTGGAACAGCCTGCCACCAGAGATGGTTCAAGCGCCTACATTGAACACCTTCAAGAGCAAACTGGATGCTTATCTTGCTGGGATCCTATGACCCCAGCTGACTTCCTGCCCTTTGGGCAGGGGGCTGGACTCGATGATCTTCCGAGGTCCCTTCCAGCCCTAATGTCTATGAGATCTATTAAATAAAAGACTAAAAAAAGTCCAGTAAAATTCAAAAAGCAGTTAGGCATTTCTATGTATAAGAAGACTAGTTTAAGTTGTAATCCTTAATACTACCAAAAAACTTATAGGGATAGGAAAAGCTGGATGTTTTCGGGTCTGAGCAAATCCATAAAACCGTACCGGTCTAGCAAGTTTTTTCCTCTTTCTTTTTTGCTAGTATGTGCTGTTACATACTGGTGGAGAAGACAGTACCTTAGATAGATTTGTGTTGGTTTCAGTATGGATATTACTGCATTGAATTTTATTAATATATTATTAAAATTTAATGCCAAAACATATCATGATTGCATTTTGGGCAGAATCCTATTTCACTTTATGTACCCAAATAGTATTTACCCTTCCAAGAAACAGACATTTTTTGCATTTATGCTTAGCTTGCAATCCTATTTCATGTGCACCATGTACATACAAGCATCTACATAGCTTCTGAGTATAAGCAGTAAGCTGCATTCTAGCCTGGCAGGTATACAGCTCTGCATTCTCGTACTTGGGTAAGCGTAAATCTGACAATTGTATCCAGGCAAGAACTCATGACTAGTCTGTTAATCACTATAGGAGAAGGATCCTCCCATTACCTCAATAGTCTAATACATACAAACGTCCCCAGAAGCAGAAGACTTCATTCTCTCTGCAGGACTCCTCTTGAGGCTTAGTAGCTTGCATTTAATGTCCTTTGGGTAACATGTCTAGAGAACAGCAGGGAAATTAATTTTCTATTTATATCAATACTGGAACCCGCAGCCTTCTCCTTTCCAGTGTACCAACTGCAACAGAAGTGCAGACACACTAAATAAATATATAGCACCATATCTTGGTTACCTTGAGGGAGAACGAAGGGTGGGAGGGAGGTAGCCTTAAGAGTAAGGCAGGAAAAGGGCTTGATAAGGCCTGCCTTGTGGCCTGGTAATTCAAGCATTATGCTGAGAATTATACAACCATGGAAAATTAGGGTTAGAAGGTACCTCAGGAAGTCATGTGGATTAACCCCCTGCTTAAAGCAGGACCAGCCCCAACTAGATCATCCCAGCCAAGGCTTTATCTAGCCAGGTCTTAAAAATCTCCAAGGATTCCACAGTCTCTCTGGTGCTTTACTACCCTCTTAGTGAGAAAGTTCTTCCTAATATCCAACTTAAACCTCCCTTGCTGCAACTTGAGACCATTGCTCCTTGCTCTGTCATCTACCACCACTGAGAACAGTCTAGCTCCATCTTCTTTGGAAGCACCCTTCAGGTAGTTGAAGCTTGCTATTAAATACTCTCTCAGTTGTCTCTTCTCCAGACTAAGTGGATACCTATACATGTGTAAAGGTGCTGAAGGGTTTCCTCAGAACTTGCAAGCTCAATCGGGGTGTTTGCACTCTTGGGACAAAGATCTGCAGCAGGCTGTACACACAGAATGCATGCACATGATTGGACAGCTGTAACCCCAGGGCGGGAAGCTCAGGGAAAAAAAAACAGGGTAGACTAGATGGGGAGAGGGTAGCTGAAGCTGGGCTGAGAAGGACTGCTTCTGCAGGGGTTGCTACCAAGACAATTGCTTCTGAGAGCCTGTAGACAGAGTGGGAGTACACTGAGACCTATTGGAACCCCAGGATCCCAAAAAGTTGGATATGGCTGCAGGTAGTACCACTGCCAGGGTTACATATGCATTGGAGCAGACTCAAGTCTGCTGCAAGTCTACTGGAACGTGCTAGTTTCACATGCTCCATCAGCTTCCACATCACATGTATTCAGCATCCCCATGTTTCAAAATGGCAGTGGAGGGTGCTTTAATTAAAGCTCATTGAGCAAGCTTTAGTTAAAGCACCATTGCTGCCATTTTGAAATGTAGGACACTGAATACAAATGACACTGAGAGTGCTTTAATTAGAGTGTCTCTCAGAGCTGCTCTAATTAAATTGCCACCCCCTCCACCCCAAAGCACATGTATAGATGCCCAATAAGCCAAGCTCCCTTCGCCTCTTCTCAGGGGTGGGGTGTAGAGGAAGAGAAGCCCCACCGAAGAAGTACCAGCCAAGTTATCTGGAGTCAAAGAAAAGCACTAAACAACATCTCCAGGTAAAATCTAAAATAACATCGAGTCATGGTGGGTGAGTAGATCCCCAAAGTGGCGTGACCAGGTTGGCTGGGCATGCTAGCAATGGTGCTGCAAGAGTGATCCTACCAAAATCACATTATAATCTACCTGACTCTTGAATTCTTTCCACACATGAAAGGTGAAAATGACCCACCTCCCTTTTTGATAGACTTGATCTCCCAGTATTAAAATAATTCACTATTTTAATAATACATCTCAGGTGTTATGGTCTATGAGTGTATGTTGATTATTAGTTGAAGTTCTCATTTGCTCTTGAGGAGGATTGTAGCTTTAAGCCCATGAGACAGTTAAGCACTTATGCACATGTCTATCTATAATTGCATGCACAGTCCCAATTACACACATGCTTAAGTGCTTTGCTGGATCTGGGTTATAAGCTGTTTTTCAGATGTTTCCTTTTATATGCCAGTACTAAAATGTTATATTTGATTACATGTGATTGAGGGAAATACTGTGTGAATTTTCTCTTAAAAACAAAACAGGAGTAATAATACATTTTTTAGATTAAAAGTTCTATTACATGTTCTTACTATATACTCTAGAATTGTTTTTTGTATCAGTTTCAGGTGATACATCAGCTTAATAACTTCTATCAGCATGGCTTGAATAAAGGCTAAAATTCAGATTTAATTTAACATTGTGTTTATCAGAAACATAGATTTTGTAGTAATGCTCCAAAATGCTACAGTTTACAACAATTGTGTTGTTGGCACTGGATTTTAATGAACCAGTCCTGATACCTTGTTCCAGGCAGGCACAACCACTCTAAATGCCTAATTGCTACCCCTCTATTTGATAATAAGATAATGTTGTTGATACATAGTGGGCGGCTCTACACCAGATGCTTTACTTGACATTAGAACAAATTACTATGCAGTAAGCATCACCATCTATATGTGCATATACTTACTGTACAGAAATTTGCTCTAATCTCAAATATATTTGCTACCTGTAAATACAAGTAGCAAATTTTACTCAGGACTAATTATTTCACAGTTCAGAAGGTGTAGATGGCCGACTGGGAGGAAATGTGCTCCAAATCAGCTGGGCAGCAGGGGACATGAGATTGCTTCCTGCCTCCAGGAGCTGCCTGCTGGTGGGATGGGCTCCACCACAAGAGCCTGAGTGAGGACAATGTCACTCTGCCCCGGCAGCAGGGAGCTCCCAGCCCTAGCTCCGAGATCGCAGAGCCAGGGTTGGGAGATAAGAATCTTTCAGCTGCCAGGGCAGGGGAACATTGCCCCTACCTGGGCTCTGGTGATGGAGGCCAACCCAGCAACAGGCAACTCCTGGGGGCAGGGAGCAATGTCCTAGCCTCTTCCAGGAGATGGCTGTCTCCTGGCCCTGTGCTCCCTGCCAAACCCTAAGATTGCATGCAGTGGGAGTCCAGATCTGCCCCTGGATGCTGCAGGGGGCTGATGCAGGGCCAGTGGGGGTGGGAGTAGACTGCTACCATGAGTAGTAAATGTGCTCCCATTTTTCCACATGTTTAGATGCCTGCTTGGGGTGGGTTTACTCTAGAGTAGTTTAGAGTAACTTAGAAACTTGGGATAGGTTTACTCTAGAGTAAATTACTCTAGAGTAAACCCACCCCAGAGCATTTCCATGTGTAGATGCACCCACTGATAGCAAATAAGACTAATGCAAGCAAAGCAAGCAA